GTTTCATTTTCAAAACCTAAGCCATGTTTAGTAAGTTGCAAATTGTCAAGAACATCATTAAGGTTTTTATGAGAAACACCAAACTTCTTCAAAGTTCCTTCAAGTTTTGCAACTTGATCCTTAAGTGATATACAAGAACTACATTTTGAACTTTCCGGTTTGTCGGCGCTTCTTTTTCCGAAAAACTTATTTTCTTCTTTAAGTTTTTCATTATCTTTTGATAGTTTATAAACTTCCTTCTCCATCGAAGTAAGTTGTTTCTTCAAATCCTTGTTAATTTTAGAAGCATTGACATATTCATCATAAAGTTCATTAAAGGCTTCTTGTACATCATCAAAAGTATAGGAATCTTTAGAAGTGGTACATACCTCTTCCGGTGGTTCTTCGTGTGCCATGAGGCAGAGGTTGGCGCTTTCATTTTCTTTGCCTTCCGATGACTCATCGCCGGAATCACCTCCCCATGAAATGTAAGCTCGGTGCTTCTTGAACGGTTTCTTCTCCTTCTCGTTTTTGGGGTTTGGGCATTTTGGCTTGATGTGCCCAACTTCTCCACACCCATAGCACTTGGGTGGTCCTCCATGCTTTTTGCCCTTTCGTTCATACTCTTTTCGCATGAACTTGTGGAATTTTTTGATGACGAGCGCGATCTCGTTGTCCTCATCGCTTGATTCTTCCATGGCGGGTTCTTGGCTTGAGGTAGCCTTGAGTGCAATCCCCTTCTTCTTTTGTTCACCTAAAGAAGGGAACAGAATGGTGGACTCATAGGTTTTGAGGTTACCTCTAAGTCCGTCAATGGTGATGTTGGTGATGCCGATGGACTCTTGAATGGCATCGGCTTTGGAGCGCCACTCCGGTGTGAGACTTCACAGGATTTTTCTCACAAGCTCCTTGCCCGTGTACGTCTTCTTGAGAGCATGAAGATCATTGACGATTTTGGAGAATCGTTCAAACATCTCATCGATTTTCTCGTTTTCCTTTATACGAAACAATTCATATTCATGGGTTAGAAAATCAATTTTAGCTTCTCGGACTTGATCCGTACCTTCGTAGGTGATTTCTAATTTGTCCCACATTTCCTTTGCAGTGGTACAACAAGAAATCTTCCGGTAGTCATCCGGGTTAACGACACAATAGATGATGTTGATGGCCTTGGCATTGTTTTCCACCTTCTTTATGTCTTGCGCATCATATTCATCCTCGGTCTTAGGAACGTTGGTTTCCTCAACCTTCTTCATTGGCACGTTCTCACCATTTTTGATAATTCTCCAAAGGAGAAAGTTGGTGGATTGGATGTAAATCCTCATCCGCTCCTTCCAATAGGTGTAGTTTGTTCCGTCAAACAATGGAGGCCTCGTGGTGGATTGCCCTTCACCTAAACCTGCGTATGAACTTTGAGTAGAAGCCATTGATCGTTTCTCTCAAACGGTTAAGTCTTTCAGAGAGTATGGCTCTGATACCAATTGTTAGAATAAAGGCCCAACGCTAGAGGGGGGTGAATAGCGTTTAAAACAAAATCGCAGGAAATTAAAACGAGAGCGTTAAAGTAAAGANCGTAAGGAAGGAGCACACCGGATTTTATCCTGGTTCACCACAACGTGTGGCTAATCCAGCCCCCCGAGAGACTCTCTCGAGCTACACTAACTCCGTTAAGCTTAAGGGTGCTTAACAAACCGATACAACTTGAGAACCCGAGTCACACGAGCCTCAACACCTTTGCTCGGAGATACCGCACTCCAAGACTTCTCACGAAGGAACAAGGAACTTCCTTCGAGTTTACAACAAGGGAACAAACTCCCTTAAAGTGTATGAAAACACTTAAACACTCAGGAATAAAACTCTCACAAAGAGTAGATATGAGTGAACTAGTAAACGCTCAAGAACACGACAATTTCTTCAAGAATTGGCTCTCAAATAGCTAAGAAAAATGGGAATGCTTATGCAATGAAAGAGTATTGAAATGTTGAAGAATTGTGTGTTAAAAGATAGGATTTGGGTGCCATTTTATAGCCCAAAATGGGATAAATCCGTTGCTAGAATTTCCAACAGGATGAAGACAAATTTTTCAGGAACACGGGCTGATAGTCGATTGTCTATGCATGATAATCGATTATCCAAAGATTCCCTGTCCAAAAATTTAAAATTCTATCCGTTGGACAACGGTAACCCAGATAATCGATTGTCAACAAGTGAGAATCGATTATTGGTCCTCTCAGAAGATTCTGGGTTTTGGCTGCAAAGGCTGATAATCGATTATTGCAAAGCTAATAATCGATTATTGCGTGCTTCAGAACTTTGGAAGTTCAAAGCTGCAGTGGCTGATAGTCGATTGTCACTAAGGTGATAATCGATTATCACCCAGCTAAAGTTTAGACAGCTGAAACCCGTTTTGAAAAACCGAGGTCCAAAAACGAAGTGTTCCCAAAAGTAAAAACCAAGTTTGAAAAACATTGTATATGGTATAAAATAGTGAAAGCAAGACTTGTTTGGTAAAAACCAAGTCCTCAAGGTCGTAAATCACGTGCGTACGGTTTTGACCGTTTTTCACGTGTTAGACCGATTGACCAAGATACAAAAGTGGTTTTTATAAAATAATTATTCGAGAACCTTTAAAATATGCTCAGAGATAAAAGCGAGGTTTAAAACATTGAAAACCACCGAGTTGGTTCGGGCACCAAAAACCGAACGCCGAAAACCGAATGCCGAAAGCCGAACGCCGACTTAGTTGGTTTTGGTTCTGAGCAAGGACCAGGGATTTTTAACAATAAAATAAGTCATCAAAAATGTTTGTTTTGATGCACAAAAAAATGTTTTATGGTTTGTAAAAATTGTTTTGACTTTTTGAGAACCGAGACTTGAATAAATTGTCGGTTTTGATCACAAAAGACCGACTCGACTAAGTCTTCAATTCTTGATCTTGTCCTTGAGTCTTTTAGGTCTTGTTCCAAGCCATTCTTCACGCCTTGAGTTATTCAACGAAACTCTTCATATCCACGGCGGTTTGGCAATTATCAAAACCTGTCAGAAATGAACACGACTTTAGTTTAACGTACAAAGTGTGTTCCAACA